AGTTTGACATTCACAAAATTGTTTGTGCAAAAATAATTGAGTTAATAGCACAATTTCAGAATATGTAATCAAGACAATTTATCTTGATAATATTGATAAATACTCAAGATGTTGTGATATTAAATGTCTGAGATAGTGAAATCATTGTTTGTGAAAATAAATATCCATGTGTTGATCTGAAATATGATACTGCATACAAAAGTAATTGTATGCATCTAACCAATAAATTATGATGAGATTTTCTTTTAATTGATTTATGGTCAGGGACCAAATATTTTTCATCTGATTATTTGGGTATGTAGCATATAATCAACGAATATACAATGATTCACAAAGATAGATTCATCAAAAGATTGAGATATTTGTTAGTTTGTCCAACATAAGGAGGAGACTAGAAGCAATACAAGAGTTGTAAATATTCCTTTTGAATGTCTCTTAAGTATAAAATATATGACATGCATGAAGTATGATGGACTAATCAATTCTAAATAAAATAATCCTTGAAAAAAGGAAAGGATCAAAGAATCAAAATGATCATAAAAAAAAAGATAATGTGCTCTTGGGGAGCTTACGACATAACACTTTATGAAACCTCATGAGAGGGGTAGCTATCTAAAAATAATGAAGTGATGAGATCTCAATAAATTATGTCGTATTGTGAATCAATGCAAAATAATATATCGTTGACAGTATTTTTGATACAATAACACGCAATATTGTAAAAGATTATCATGATATAAATTCTACGACTATTAAAGCATGTTGGTGTAGAAATAACTATCAAATGGAAAGTGAAATGGTGCATCTTGGTAAGCGTAAAACTTATTTGACTTGCACTCTAGGCACTAGAAGATGTCATACATCTAACATTGAATGTTGTCACTTAACAAAATTGAGATGAAAATATCCGATGAGTTCAAAATCTAAAGCATATACAAGTTTTTGGAAAACTTATTTATCGTCCTCATAAGGATTAAATTGATTCAAAATGCATAGAGCATATACAAGTATTATTATGCAAGTTGATGACTAGAATTGAAACTCTTAAAGAGTTTTCAAAAGGCAATAGATTATTTGCTTAAAAAAGTAGAATTAAGGAACTTGCAGAAATATTTGATCCTAAAGGAAAGATTCACAAAAGCAGATAGAAGAAAGCATATTTCATCAATGTTTTTTTACACTCATGAGCTCCAAAGAATGGTGATATCAACATGCAACATGTCTGTTCAAGTAATACAATAATTGATTTATCCATCAAGTCTCTACCAACTACAACATTCAAGAAGATGATGCTCAAGCTTAGAAAACAAAGATCCAAGTCTCTGGATTGATGTTCTCATGAGGGGGAGTTAATACGTGATGTACTTTTTTTTCTTCATAAGATTTTGTCCCATTGGATTTTCCTTTTAAGGTTTTTAATGGGGCATCCATAATGCGTATTATTAGATATGTGTACTCTTTTTCCTTCACTAAATTTTTTTCCCATCGGATTTTATCTAGTAAGGTTTTAACGAGGCACATAATCTACTGACATTCAAGGGGAAGTATTATAAACGTATTTGTATTATAAAGAATGTCTAGTTGTGTGGAGTCCTTGTAGGATATGGTTAGGAATCCATTTGGGAACCAAGTAAGGTTTCCCTTATAAATAAAAGGGTTTTCCTTCCTTGTAAAGAAGATTTGTGAAAGAACTATGAATCTTGAATATACTTTAAGATGAATAAGAAGTCTTTTTTCTTCTCCCTACTTTATTCTTCTTCTAAATTTATATAGTTTTATAACATTATTATCATTGTTATAATTTATTTATTTTCTCAGGTGAATTTTCATAACTAATGATAGTTTGATAAATTATAATAACTAATAATAATGTGCTAATCATACTTTTTACTAAATACATTATGATTTTAGGATAATAATATTGTAACTGACTCATCATAAAAATGATAATTTATACTTTAAGATGAATAAGAAGTCTTTTTTCTTCTTCCTACTTTATTCTTCTTCTAAATTTATATAGTTTTATAACATTATTATCATTGTTATAATTTATTTATTTTCTCAGGTGAATTTTCATAATTAATGATAGTTTGATAAATTATAATAACTAATAATAATGTGCTAATCATACTTTTTACTAAATACATTATGATTTTAGGATAATAATATAGTAACTGACTCATCATAAAAATGATAATTTTATGTCATTTATAATAGTAAAATAACTTATGAATGTAAGTCATTCATTAGTTCGACCACTTCTTCAAGCACTTTTAGAAAATGTGAAACTTTTTGATAAAATTTATTAGAAATTGACTTATCGTAAATGTTCTTAATAGATTTTTCACCAGTAAAAAAAATTAAATTATCATAAATGAGATACAGATATTTTTGTCATATTTTTAAGAACATTAATGTCTCTATCGTCTAAAACTAGAGTATATATGTCTTTCACTCTAACGGAGGATTAAATAGGGATATGTGACGCAATTTTATCTGTCGATTCAATTTTTAATAAATGTCAAGTCGATGGATAAGATTATGACATGTATATATTCACTAATATATAAAATATATATGCTCTAATTTTGTAACGATAGAAACAACAATGTTTCAAAAGTATGACAAACAATTTCTCTATTAACATTTTTGATAATTTGATATATTTTTGTGTTAATTAAGAATGCATCAAGAGACCAATTAGAAGTTACAATCATTTCATTTTAAACTTACCAAAAAAAAAGGAGAAAATATTTGTATATAATATGTAACAGGTGTTAGTATCTCTACAGTCTCCACTTAAAAGATGTCTCACAAAGTACATGCATCATGCTGTTTTATCAAATAAATACATCATTAAGGATGTGTTGGTTAGGGAAAAAAAAAGTAGTCTTTTTGAAAGAAATTAAAAAATATTCACTATATCATTAGGTCAAGTATAAAGTTATAACATAATTTATATATATGTTCATCAATTAGAAACTGATTAAATCATACAAAATACTAAAATTAGGCTTAACTCTCTGATGAGATATTTAATAATATTTTGAATTCGCTTAGTGAAATGTAATTTTCGCTATAAATTCATCTTATTTTAGATCACATGTATTTTATGCTAAAAGCTCACCCACTAAGCTAATACTAGTAACCTTGCTAGTCCCACTAAAACCTAGATAATCCCCTTGTTTAAAATATGTTTTGGATGAGGATTAACTTTTTCTATAGTATTAGTTTAACAAAACAAAACCCTAAGCAAGTACAAATTTAACATAGTAATTTCAATTGGTATCTTACATATAGATGACATAAACACATGGATGGATTTTCTTACTTGGGTTGGGACAATTTAACATAATAAAAATGGAGGAAATGGGACCTAAGATGACATAAAAGATAGATTCAATATCAAGGATAAAGCATAGGCCAAAAATAAAGATTTAAATATGAAAAAATAAATCTACAGCCACAAACAAAGCAAAAACATTAGTAATTAGTAGATTGAATTGTCACTTAAGAAAAATTTACAAGAAGAAATAGACAAGTTTCCCTTTTATTTCTCGATATTCGATACACTAACATATTTACAAAAGTAACGCTTTCAATGAAACTTTATCAGGAGCTAAAACTTGAGCTTTACTGTATAGAAGAATCTCAATCATCCTATCACAATTTATTACTAACTTAAAAAATTTAAAATTTTTAATTAAATATAAAAAAAAACATCGACTATCTCACCACCGACCTGTTATATTAATATTAATAGACAACTTTTAAGTTGAATAGATTAGTAACTTGCATAGCTATTAAAAAAAAATAGACAACTTGACAAATTGACATATTTCTACAAGTTTCCTTAAGAAATCAACAAGAATATGACATAAACATCCAAATCTTTTCATACCAAACTTCTCCTATGAAACCTACTAGATATTCTTCTTTTGTACTGAATGCGTAATTTAAAATCTTTGTACCAAACTATGTCTAAAACACTAATTAAGCCTCTAAATTATGGACTACACTATTAGAAAATTATTATTTTTTATAAAAAGTATATTTAGTGACTATTTTCATAGATATTTTAATTAAATTAATAAAAAAATAGAAATTATCAAATAATTAAATTCTCCATTATTTTAATAAAAAATTACTTTTTATGTATTTTTCTAATGAATTGGTTTGATAAAAATGAGTAAAAGAAATTATTCCCTCTATTTTAACCTATGTGCTCTTTTTTTCGTTTTTCAAGAGTAAAAATGTTATGAATTTAATTAGAAATTTGCACATGATGAAATGTTTATTTTTTAAAAAAATAAAATTTATATTATTGTAACTATGTAAATAATATTATAAGTAACAAGAATCAATAATTTAAAATATTTAAAAGATCTATAAAAAACTTACGAGGAGTATATTTTATTGCAATAAATTTTCATTAATTTGCTATTCTTAATAATGCTAATTATGTCATGTTTCATGGAGTATAATAATCATATTACATCTTATATAACAAAATCTAACACTAACTTTATTTTTATGATTGTAATGTTCGAATCAGCTTTCATCATCTTCTCTCAACATGACCTCTACATGTCATCTTTAGAGGACTTTCGAACAGTATCCTATACCGAACCTTGCAGAGAAAGTGCAGCAAATGAGCTCTACTTATTTCTTTTTCTACATGAATCTATAAAATTCACTTTTCTCATCGACTCAAGTCACGATAATCAACCACCCCTAAATGCACCTTCACTAATTCTACCAAATGAGCACCTCCTACCAGTAACACATATCAAATAGCACTAAACCTAGAAAGAAGAAAGGAATCCTCTAATATTTTTTTGTCTTCACTAGATCTCGAACCTGAAAAGATCGAAACTTCAGTATTTTCAACTACTTCATTGACCAATAGGCCCGATAGTGCAAGCTCTACTAACACTTTCAAAATGTAAAAATTTACAAAATAAAAATTAACAAACTCAAATGAGGAAGAGTAATAGAATTAAAGAGTATAAATTTCTTACCTATTCAAAAATAATGACAACTACTAAACAATAGATATAACCCCTAATTTTCTCCCTAATTAGTGAAAATATTACCCCAAAAAAAGCAAGAAAATTTTGAGAATTTAACTAGAAGATGGAGGATATTGGCTAGAGCTACTCCAAAATGTTGTAGAAAAACTTGAGCTGCTAGTGGTGCTGGTGCTACTTGTGTTGGTTCCTTGAATTTGATTAGTTTGTGGTGTGTAATAACTCGAAAATAACAGGGGATATGACGTTGAAGAAGTTGCTGATGTAGCTAACGATGAAGACGAAGATATTAATGGCAATGTGTTTGAATGCAACATTGCCATCGATGAGGCAACGAACATTTGTTCCAATAAGTTTGATGGTTGTTGATCCGTAAAATCTCCTGGATTTTGCAACAATTGTGAGTATTCCCAGTAGTCTCTTGTTGTATCTGAACTCTGGATAGGATTGAGGAACGACGTTGGTTGAGCTATTAGAGGGGATGGATTGGAGATTGTTGACGTTACAGTATTTTGTGTTTGTGGTAACGATGACAATCTGGCGTTCTCAGGGAAGTTGAGTTTTGCTCTGTTTCCTCGAAATCTCAATGCAGCTTCATCATATGCTCTTGCTGCAGCTTCTGCTGTATCGAATGTTCCTAACCAAACTCTGGCGGCTTTATGTGGATCTCTTATTTCCGCTGCCCATTTACCCCATGGTCGTTGTCGTACACCTCTGTATTTCCTCCTCCTATCTCCTCCTGTTTCTTCGCTCGAACCCTCACCTGTTGTGGTCGTGGTTGTGATTGTGGTTGTGAAAGCGGGAATTGGTGCAACCATACTTGTAGCTTCTTCTAATACAAACATAATAAGTCTTAGTACTTACATTGAGGATAGAAGAACAAAAAATTGAACTATTTTTGGGATTTCTATATATCTAAATTTACTTAATTACCTTCCTAGTTATGGTAATGATGAAATAATGTCAAATAGTACCATGGAATAAAACTAAGCAAGCAATTTTTTTTAAAAAAAATTGTCCATTCTTTTAGTTTTGATTTTCAAAAAAGGATGATCTAAACTAAAAAAAATAAGAAATAACAGGAAAAAAACATTTTGAAATTTCATTTTACAGTTGAATCATAACTATTTAGGTATAAAACTAATCTCAACTATCAATTATTTTTTTCCTTTTCCTCCTGAAAGTGATGAAAGTAAAATTAAAAATTTCAAAAAAAAATGTGTTTTAGTTCATTTTAAAAAAGCTAAAAACTAAAACTCCCCCACCTATTTATTAGGATTAACTTTTAATTTATTTTTGTTATTTTTATTTTACCTAACACTTCAAAACTAACATATCTGAAATGAAATAAGTCAATTCAAACAAACACTAAGTAATAATTAAACACTGATAATTGAGATATGAAACTCGAAAAAAAAAGTAATAGTTCACTCACCAATTTTAACAGAGGAAGAAGATGACAACCCAGTTCCAAATTCTTGTTGATCACGGCTTCTCTTCAGTCCAGCTCTAGAACCCGAGCTGGACGAAGAATAAGCCGGAGACGGTGAATTAACCGAATAACATCTGGTATCGGGTCGATAATCCTGACCCGATACCACACGTGTAAACTCCGTCACCATCTCCGACATATCTCTCGCCTGAGAATCACAATACCCTGAATACATCGAATAATCAAACTGACCACCGCCTTCAACACCGCCGCCGATCGCAGTCACGGCGGTGGTTTGTGTATCATCTGTATCTGTAAATCTAACAAATTCACTTGATTTTCTTGAATTCGCCACCTTTAAAAAGCACATATACACAAAATTAAATACAAAAAAAAAACCAGATGTTAATTTTTTGTTAATTATAAATACCCTGTTCACCGATTTTGAAACTGACAAACAAAAAGAAAAAAAATAATTTTTATTTAGCTCATATGATTTGTTTTTTCTCTTTGAGCACATGCATAAAGTAGAAATCAAAACAATTTTTTTTATATATAATAAAAAAAATAAAAGAAGATTAGAGATGCCGACTTAAGCTAATATGTTCACACTGTTGATTAGTTACATGCATCTCTATATGCTTACGCCCCTTTCGAACTATTTAAAAAGAGTGTCGGTTTATTTTATAGAGAAAAAAAAAAAAGAGATTGTCTTCAACTTGATTTCTTTTTCTTTTTTTTTTTGTCACTTTCATTTTCAACTTGGTTCAATTTTAATTTTTGGTTTTCAAACACCCAACTTGGTTCATTTAATTTGTTTGACAAATTTATTAGCGGTGAATTTTTTTTTTTTAGATCCATCTATTTCAAGCTAGTGGTGAATGTTTTTAAAAAAATTTCTCTCTGTTTTTAGTTATTATTTTAAATTTTAAGTCCTTTAAGAAATTAGGTAAGTCTAGAAATATGAATTTTTATTAATACTGTGTGTATATATCACCTTATTATAGCGGGAAGCCTCCTAGTATGAAGGCATAGTTTGTAGCGCCTAGGTCCATTCAAAATCGAATCGAAATTGATAAGTCGAACCGATAAAAAAGTTATTGGTTTATAGTATTGAGTTATTGGTTTAGTGATTTTAATAATGGTTTTTTGTTATCGGGTTATCGGTTCTTAACGGTTTGAATTTTTTTCTTAACGGGTTAACTAATAACCCGATACTAAATTAAATAACTATATTTATACCATTTTGTATAGAAAGTCCTCGACTTAGAGTTTGATTTCCTACTTTCATTTCTGGTTGTCTCAAACACTTGCTTATTCAACAATGTAAAAGTGTTTGATTTTGACCAAGATGTGACATGTGAATTCAAGTGCATGGTTTATTTGGTTTGTCACTTTATTTCTAAGTGATTTTCAAGTTTTTTTTTTGTGTCAAATCTTAACGGTTAAACCGATAACCGAACTGATAACGATGAAAAATCAATAAACCAATAACTGATAAGTCAATCAATATCTTAATGATTCTATAACGGTTAAGCATCTCCACAAACCGATAACCAATAACACAACCTGATAAACTTCAAAACTGAACCGAACTGACCGATATTAGCGCATGTATGTCTGTTATAACGGATTGATGGAATCAGACATTAGTAATCATATGATGTACTTTATTTTACCACGATTGCCTCGTGTACCACGGCTGATATGAAACACTAACACAAGTTGGTTCATTATCATTGATACATTAAGAATTTATGTGTGGATTTCATGAGAAAATTGAATTTTTATGTTGATTTATGTGAACCAAGTTTCTTATTTATGTTATGTTTATCACCAATTGATCTTGAGTGATCAGATAAGTGCAATGTTTATCACAAATTACAATGTTTCTCTTGCAAATAACTTTGGTTGTAAATAAAGTTAAAAAGCATTTGAGTATATATAAGTTGAGTGTTAAGTTTATATTTTGTTCACTTTCACATATTAAGATTTAGTTTGAAGTTGAGGATTCTCTTATCTAAATGTTAGAGCAAGTGTTGCACGAGTAAATGAATTGAATTGTGATAATTAGTTAAAAGTAATCTAATAAAAGCTATTATTTTATTTATTAATTTTTAAATTACGTATCAAGTCAAACATGACAGAACAGCGGGTAATTAAAACAGTGGGCTTTGACTTCCATTTGGGCTGCAAGTTGAATCTTCAATATTGAATATGGGTTAGTCCATAATTAATTTTTGACCTTACAAAAAGTCATAAAAATTTCAAACAGATTTTGATTCTACCAAGAAAATCACTTCTTCATCTCCTACTCTTCTTTTTTTCCTTTTTTTTTCCATTTCTTTTTTTATAATTGAAATTTTGTTGGTAATATTCCATATATGCTTAACTATTTGAATTGGTCTAGTTAGATTAAATAAATTAAGAACACCATTATTGATTTTTTCATCTTGAAAAAAAAAAAGACATGTTAGAAAATATAAAATAGATCTATTTATTTTTAAATGTTTTAGTTGAATATATCAATTGAAATTAATATTAGAAGGTACTTTCTTCGTACATTTTTATTTGTCATTTTGAGCTTTTTGAAAGTGAATTTGATTAACTTTTAAAATTATATTAAATTATATTAATTCGATATTTTAAATAAAAAATTTAGATATTCAAAAACTATATAAAAAGTACTATAAATTGCAATTTTTTGCATATCAATATGATGAGAAAATACATCTAAAAATATTAGTCATAGTTTTTAAAGTTTGACTCTATAAATTAAAACCATGACAAACAATAGTGGACGGAGGGAATAGTGTATCCATTTTGGAGTTAATTAGAGCTAATTTTGATCAATTTTCAAATAAAATTGTGTTCGTGAGTTTTTATATATTAAAAATTATGATGATCGTTAAAATTTGAACAAGGATCATCAGAATTATAATCACAAATAATAAAAAAGATATTTGCAATTCGTTAAAATTTCTAGCAAGATCAACATAACTTATTATTAAATCAAATTTAGCTCAATAACAATGAGAAATCTTATTTGACATACCAAAAAAATTTCCTCATTATGACAAAAGGTTATTTAATTTTCTTGACAATTATAATTACTCGTTGTTAAAAGTAAATCCTCTACGCGTTAAATATTTGCTCCTAAAATTGATAAAAGAAAGTTAATTTGCACTTTTTTTAATTATTAAAATTCGAGATTCAAACTTTATATATAGCTTCATATTTTTTTTAATTTCTCCTCTCCTTTAATTAAATGAATATACTTAAAAGAATATTAGCAACATTTATAATGATAATAATGTTATAATAATTATTATAATGTTTATATAATTGAAAAACCATAAGAATATTCAAAGGTTTGACTTCAAATAAAAATACTAGAAGTATTCATTATTATATACTTAAAGTAAGCTCTCTTATAATTTTCAAAGTTAATTTAGAGAAGAATATGTCTTCACGTTTATCCATTCATAGGATTTTATTCCATTAAAGTGACTTGAATCTAACAACATATTTAATTGTTAATCAATGTTCAACTGTTGAATAAATCTCCTCTTTTTTTGTTCATTTTTGAAAATTAACAATATGAATTTCGTCAAAAAGAGTTATAAGTAAATTAATGGGAAAATGCATAAGTACCTCACCAATCTATGCCTGAAATCTCAGAGACATACTTATATTATACTAAGGTTCTATTATTCTCTTATATTTATTTTATAAATAATTTTCTACCCCTTTTGGCCTACGTGACACTAATTTTAAAAAAAATCAACACATGTTGGACCCACAAGATGGTGTTACGTAGGTCGAAAGGGGTAGAAAGTTTTTTATAAATAAATTCAGGGCGTAATTGGACTTTAGTATAGTGTAAGTGTGTATTTGAAAATTTCGAACATAGATTTATGGGGTACTTGTGCATTATCCCGTAAATTAATTGAATACTACTTCGAATTTGTTTTAAAAGAGTGTGTAAAAGCAAAATATAATTGGGTAACTTATCGAAATTTCACTAGTTTAGGAGTTAATTGATTAGATATATGTTAGTTTGCAATACTACATAGATGTATCTCGAAATACATGATATAAAAATTAGGTATAATTTATTCTAGATGCACTATATCCAAGTAAATTCGCATGTACTTGGAATTCACAGGCAAATCTCACTCGCCTTCCTCTACGGGTTCGCATGTATCTGTGATACATAGACGTCACTCTTCTATGTATTCTAAATACATGTAAATCATATCAGGTACATACAAATACATGTATCTCTTGTGTGTATAATTTTGTATAATTCATGTGTATCTGAAATTCATAAACAGAAACTCGTCTCTCTCTCAATTTTAATATATCTAATAGCAAAATATTGTATCTGATTTAAAATTTGTTATGAAACGATAAATAATGCTATAAATTTTATTTTTAAAAAACTATATATATATATATATA